TAAACGTGTTGGGTTGGTGCTCTTTCATATGCGTATTTTTTTCAATTTAGCACGTTTTTTTTTTAAATTCTAAAATTTTTTCCCCTCGTGTTGGAATATGAGCTTATGACATTCGATACGATACTTGGGTTCTGGTACTCGATTCCAAAACATATCGTTTTAAAACTATCGAGTAGAAAATATCGGTATCGAATGCCAAAAGTATCGATATGGTATCGTATCGTATCGAAATTCGTGTCCCTAATGCTTGAAATACAATACCGGCGAACGGCAAACTTCGCCGATTTGGGCGATGCTGTCGTTCACCGTTCGCCTAGCTATTTCGCCTACTTAAACAGAATTAGAGCGGTAGCGAAAACAGCTGATCCCATTTGGTCGCCTTTATAATTTGGGTGACCATATTTAGAAAAAACTAAACCATATTTAGAAATGAGGAAATGATAACAAATATAAATTGTAAAACAAAGAAAGATTATTATAAATAATTTGTTTCAAGCCAGATTTAACGAATCCACAACTATATTTTTCAAACAACAAAAAAAAAATCGTGTTTAGGTTGTTTTCTTTTTAAACTTTGAAAGCAAAAAACAAATACGGCCACTTTTGGCACGCACAGCTGTCATCGCCCAGCAGGGCGATAGAAATAAATCTATCGCCATGGAACGCCGCCAAGCGAACTTCGCATTTCGCTTTGGCTGTGTTCAATTTCATATGCTTGCGGGTGTTCTAATTTTGACAGCGCGAATTTCGCTGTGGTGAGTTCGCTGATTCTTTGCTCCTTTATAATGCTTTTGAAAGCTACACAATCCACTTCAATAAACGCATTAAACACTCTAGGATTTTTCTGCGATTTAAAAACTTTAGTACATTTGAGGTGCTCAAATAAGACATCGTTTTGCTTACGTATAGCTTATTCGACTTTATCACACTCCAAGTTCGCCGATAGCCCACTTATTAATATTTCGGGGTATCTCAAGCCTGGGATTTCCACATCATATCTTTGGCTTAACTTATTTCTGATTTCATCAGCTAGGATATCTCTATCGCTATTATTTACACGTTTAATTTCAACTGCACCATCCTGTCTATTAAACATCCCATTAACCTTAACTTTTAAATTGGCTGGGTTAATACATTCTTTGACTTCATTTCTGGTTATATTACTTTATTGACTTTTCTTTGGCTTCAGAATTACTGGGGCACACCCCGCACCCCTTTTAAGCTTATCCGCGTACGTCTCGCTTACTACTCCACTGTGCTTAAGGTATTGGCCCAATGCACGCTTGCTTTGCTTGCTTGGCTTTGAGAACTGTCAAACAATTTTTAAAATCTACTAAAATGTATGAAAGTTGGCCTAGTGGCAGCTTTACTTCACTTGCTTGAAGCGCTTTAAAGTATCGATTAGCCGAAATCTCTATTTGACAGCGCGCTGTAGGCTTTTGACAACTCTTGACATTTCAATTTTTCGCGTCGATTTTGCTTGTGTGCAGTTTTTATCGCGTTCTTCATCAATTTTAGGTAAAATAATTTATATTAAACAATTATTTGTTGCTAACAACATTATTTTTTCAGATACCTTTTTTTTTTTTTTGGGCTCTGAAATCTATGACTGAAAGGACGACAGTCCCTATAGTCAGGTTGTTCCTCCAGGTATGGTATGCTCAAACAGGTGTGTAACTGCTAATGTGTCTGTAGTATTTCCACTGCTACACAAAGTAGTACCGCTGGCCAAAACCCGTGTAGTAGTTTCTGCTTGTGTTGTTTAGTGCGTTTGATTCTCCAAGTGCAATTTGTTAACTGAAGCCGTGTATTAGTGATTTTGATTGTGTGGATGATGATGTGTATACAGCATGTGTGTAACAGAAGGCAGTTGTGATTGCCATGTATTTTCAGTAGTGTTCGCGATAACGGACTATAAAGGCTTGGGCTAGGTGGAACGATTAAATATTATACATGATATGTGACGAATAGCAAAATTAAAAAGGCGTAAAAAGTAACAAACTGGTTAGGAAAGTTAACGACAAGTTTTTACATCAAAAAGATATTTTGGCCTTTTGAAAAAATTTGGCAAGCTGAGTTATCTTGGCTAGATAATTGTTTTGAAAAATTGAATGAAAATCGGTAGCATTGCTGAAAATATCGAATTCAGCTCTAATATTATCGAGTCTTCTGCAGTGGAAGGTTTGGTGAATGTAATCGTCAAGTTGTCCACAGTAACAACGTGGCGAATTCAAAGCATTGATTTTAAACAAATATGCCTTATCATACGTGTGCCCTGATAGGACTCTGTTAAGCGTTTTAATGTCAGTTGGTGATAATGTTAGTTTTTTAAACCAGGCGGAATTTTTCCTGCATGGAAAAACAGATGCAAAAAGGTTGGATTTTAATGAGGAGTAGTTTAAGAATTCATTGTACCATTCATCAAATATGGTATTTTTAATCTGCCTAATAGCTTCGTCAACTGTGTATTTGGCCCTTATAGAGGTACCTTCACTGGTGGCTTTTTTGGCTAGTTCATCTGCCCTTTCATTCCCCAGAATGCCAACGTGGCTTGGGGTCCATACCAGATCTATCAGTATACTATCCGCGTCAAGTATTTTTTTATGTATTTGTTGAGCAATGGAATTTTTTGTTTGAGAGTTTTTTAATATATGGCAAGAGGTGAGGCTGTCGGTGAATATAACAACCTTGTCCTGTTTGTTCATGATAGCAATGCTAATTGCTTCATTGATGGCATGAAGTTCTCCAAAAGTGGAGGAAGACTTAAAATCAATACAAAAAAGGTGATCAGAGTTCTGGGAGTAGTTAAAAATTCCACAGCCCGTGCTATTTTCAGCCAGGGAGGTGTCACTATACAGAATATAAAAACCTCTGTTTTTATAACTGTTTAAAATCATAGAGTGATGAGTCTTAATGCTCTCAATTGTCAGATTAGATTTTTTGTCAGGTAACATATTATCACAGATATGAAGATTGGAGATATGGAAATTGTGGTGAACCACATCAAGACGGCCAAGGATGTCAGAGAACTTTCCATATACAGAGGAGTAGCTAGAGTTTAAAAGAGGATTCTTTCTTATTGAAGTAGAAATATTATCATTATATGCAGAGATTTTGACAAATTCTTTGGCGGTGAGCCATATGGACCTTTCTTTTGGAGGCAGTTCATTAGCAATAGCATATAGGATGGGTATGGGGGTGGATGGGGTTAAACCTAGGCATCTCCGTAGAAATTTGTTTTGAAGCGTACATATTTTCTTAACAGCAGACTTAGAACAGTTGGCTGTAGTGGTACTACAATACTCAATTTTCGATCTAACCAGAGCTTTGTACAAATTTAGAGCTTTTTGCGGATGAAGGCCTGATTTAATATTTGTAAGATATTTAAAAAGTTTTATGTTATTTGCTGATGCCTCACAAATTTTTAAGTAATGATTTTTGATAGTCAGCGAACTGTTTATGGTTCTTCCGAGTACCTTGAGTTCATTAACTTGCGTCAGCCTTGTGCCATTCATATTAATGACAATGTCTTTTTTTGGTCCTTTAGATATGTGCATCAGCTTCGTTTTATCCGGATTTACAGAAAAATTTAGAGAATTGCATCTGTCAGCAAAGGAGTTGAGTGTAGTTTGTAGGTTTTGCTGTGCCTCCAACAGGTCAGCACCAGAAGATATGAAACAAAAATCATCAGCAAATTGCAAAAGTTGGAGGTTATCCTCTGTAAGATCATGAAAGCTCGAGGTATATACATTGAAGAGTAGTGGAGATAGGCAACTGCCCTGTGGTATACCATTATAGATCTCTGTACTATTGTTTCCTACCTTAAGTACTCTAAAGGCCAGGAAATTTATTATCCACTCAGTATAAAGACTTTCAACATTTAGTTCAAGGAGCTGGTTTTTTAAGATTTTAATATCTACGCAATTATAGGCATTGGCAATATCAGTAGTGCAGAAAATTACCTGCTTCTTCATGGATTTAAGGAGGCTTATTTTGTGCAGAATGTGATTGATACATACAGCGGATGATTTATTTTTCCTGTACGCAAATGTATTTTCAGGAAGGCTATTGTTGTTCTCCAAGAAGCGGTATAGTCTATCCTTGATACATGAGTTAATTAGTTTGAGTAAGACAGATATTAATGCAATTGGTCGGTAGTTATTGAAGTCATTTAGATCCTTTTCTTTTTTGGGGATAGGAACAATTTTTATGATACGCCAGTGATCAGGAATTTGATTGGACAGAAATAGATCGTTTAGAGATGTTCTTAGAGCACTTAAGGTGATTTCAGGTAGAGCTTTTAACATTTGATATGTTATTTTGTCTACACCAGCTGCTGATCCTTTTTTCTTCCTATTTAAGCTGCTCAATAATTCATCAAAGGTGATTGCCAAGTTATGATCATAAACTAATTCTTTATTTATTGCTAGTCTAGTGGTTTGGTTGGGTACCTGCCTATTTAGCATTGCTAGAAAGCTTATATCGTTTTCATGGTTCCAAGAGGAGTTGCCTTGGTTGTAATCGCCTCTTAGGGCTTTAACAAACCGCCACACACTTCTTCCACTGCCAGTATTGATTTCTTCAATTTTATTGTTGAAGTTTGCCTTTTTGGCTTTCTTCACTTCTCTTCTCCACTCTTTTTGTTGAATCATAAGATTTTCAAAATTAGCAGGACTGGGAAAATTTTTTGCTTTCTTAGAAGCTGCAGTCAGAAGTCTGTACATTTTGTTAAGATTGTCATTCCACCAGGCCTTGGGCTTCATGTTATTTTTGACAATGTAGGTGGCATTGTTAATTTCTTCGGTTATTTTATTTTCAAAATCTTGTATATTGGCATCGCATTCTAGAGTTTTAAGTGAGGAGAGAAGTTTATTTTTGGCCATAAAAAGGCACGAGTTACTGTTAATTCCGCTGACTTCAATTGTTACAGGTAGATGATGACTGCCACCAATTCTGATGGCATCAACATGCCAACTGCAAGGTGAGCCACTATTTGTGAAAGAGAGGTCTAACACCGAGCCATTGTTTGAGCGTAGATCCCTTTGATACGTAAAGGGGCCATTGTTCAAGCAAAAAAGACTCGATTGCAGGATATGTTGGGTTAAGTGCTTGCCTCTGTTGGACTCAAAGGTGTCACCCCATATCGTAGCCCTAGCATTGAAATCTCCAGTTACAAAAACATTTTCATGCCGATCTGCAAAATCAACAACTCGTCTCATTTCATTATTAAACTCACTAATGGCTACATTAGGAGGGAAGTACACAGTGACTAGAAAAATATTTGGGCTGAGGTTGAGAGTTTCAATTACTAGTATATCAAAATCGGAGTTGAAAGTTACTCTTTTATATTTTATGTTGCGCTTTATGGCGATTGCCACACCCCCATACCCATCGCTACGATATTTCTTAATCATGTTGTAGCCAATTAACCTCCTGTGGGAAGAGTTGGCAGTGAGAAAAATTTCGTTTAGGCATACCAGGTCGAATTGATGTTTGTTGATATAAAGTTCTAGAGAATCTATATTAGCTTTTAGAGATTGGATGTTATACTGTAGAATCTTCATTTTCAAGGAAGGAGGAGTTGTCATAGTTAATAATAGCTCTCTCGTCATTGTTGTTCATAATCAAGTCAAATTGATTTTTAAGAAATTGAATTTGTTGAAAAGTGTTGTTATCCTGAGATTCGATTGAAATTTTTTGAGTGATTCTAAGGAGCTGAGTCATTAATCTCTCCATTTGGGATACTAATCCTTTTTGGTAAGCTTGTGATTCAAAGACCGGGCTATTTTTAACTTTGTTGTCGATTCTTTTAGTATATCTTGGTTGAGGTGCTTCATGTCTGACCTGCTGATTTTTGAGAATTGAGCTATAAGATTTTCTTGTTAAACTACGATTTATATTGGAGTCTTTATCTATCGTTCCATCAGTCTGATCACAGAAGTGGTTTCGTCCTCCTCAAAAATGCTGAATCTGTTGTTATTTTTTGGGTAATAGGTGTCAAGAACTTCTTTCCTTGACATTTTCTTTACCGTTTTGATGCGGTTCACAGAGATCTCCTTTTCCCAATGAGGGCAGCGGAGCTTGTCTTTAGCCGTGTGGCCACTATTTCCACATAAGATGCAGTTGTTTGCCTCACAGTCCGCTTTGCACTCACTCTTGCCGCATTTGATACATCTAATTTTTGACTTGCAAGACATTTGAGTATGACCTAGTCTCCCACAATTGTTGCATTGTCTTAAGGGAGGGATATAAAAATCTACATCCAACTTTGTATATTCATATATGATTTGCTTGGGAATCTCATTGCCCGAAAAGCCTATTTTTAATGTGGTAATTGGAACGTATTCATTGGTTGCAGGGTCCTTGCGCGTAAAGCGTCTGACCGACCTGATAGGGATGCTGGATATAGCATTATTTAAGAAATCTGAGTCACTGAAACATGTGGGTACACCCCTAACTACACCGTATATTTCGAGTGCAGTGCGAGGAATGAAAGGTTTGAGGCCTCTTTTCGGAAGTTTGTCATCGAGCACGAATGTGTTCGCTGCATAGGTGTTTTTAAAAGTTACTTTGTATAGTGTTTTACCCAAGGCATAAATGAATTCAACATCTTTGTGACGCATGTCTTTTATTTGACTTAGCAGAGTTAACCCTGTGGTAATTTTTTCGTTTTTAATATTGGGGCATTCAGAGGAATCAACTAAAACAAAAATCTCCCCCTTAAATGTATGCGGGTACATCACTGTCTTTTGTGCGTTTTCATTTTCTTTTCCTCTTGCTTGTTCATTTTCGTTAACTACAGCTAACTGTGCTTCTTGCAACTGTTCATTTACTGGAAGGTTCTCACATTCCATGCTACCTACTGTTTCCAAACTTTTCCCGCCTTTTCTAGATTTTTCTACATTTTTCCCGCCATTTTCATCATTTTCTGAATTTTTCCCGCCCTTTTCAGGACACACGTTATTTTTCGCACTACTTCTGGGTTTAATCTGAATGAGCCCTCCACCGCTGGCGAGCTCATAGAAATTTGTCACATCTCTATTGTCCAAAACTTTTGGTCTTTTCAGCGCACTGCCCTCAAATGCAGAAGCCTCTGCCTCAGGCATCGCCGACCACGAAGTCGACGACGCCATCTTGGCGTTTCTATCCTTGCCCACCTTAAGAGGCGGCTTTCTTTTCTTTCTAACAGGCACTATGGAATTTATTCCTTAGCACTTCACCCGAAAATGAATGAGAAAAAATGAAAAACTCTGTCTAGCCAAGACTCACCTGCCTTCCAGCTTGTTGCAGCAAAATTATGTGTTAAATTACGCGACGCAAAAAGGAATTAGTTTAAAGTGCTATTAGTTAGCACACACATGCACCCACTCACACGGCCTTTGTCACAAGAATCTTATTTTTTTTTTTTTTTTTGGATATAGAACACTTAGAAAATTTTTATTCGCGACGAACCACCTTCGCCCTCAAATGCCAGAATCCGAATGTTTCAGATACCTTGCTTTTTATCGTTCCGGCCACCAGATTCGTTGGTTTTCATAAAGTTTCATTTGCCTGTGCCACTTCCACCCGTGTTTATAAGGCGAAATATTCAACTGGAGGTAAAAGAGTTTATATTAAACAATTATTTGTTATTAATAATATTATTTGTTGCTAACAACAATATTTTTTACAGATACCTTACTTTTTTATCGTTCCGGCTGCTGTATTATCCGATTCTTGTGTGTTGGTTGGTATATCGGAAGCTTTAGTGCAAGATGTTCGAAGAAAAACTTATAGCAGAGATTGAAAAACACAACTGCTTGTGGGACAAACGACAGCTTAGTTACCGCGATCGGGTGAAGAAAGATTTGGCTTGGCGAAATGTAGCTGCTGCTGTGGGACATCCTGGTTAGTATAGAGTTTTTCAAACATATAGCAGTTTTGTAATAGGACGAACCAAATTATAACAAATTTGTGACGAATAATTGTGACGAATACTATATTTTTACTTTACAGAGGAAAACTGCCGAAAGCGATGGAAATCGTTAAGAGACCGATATGGAATAGAATTGAAGGTTGATCAACAACCTAGCGGAAGTGCTGCGTCGTTTTTGAAAGACACGGTCACGCCCAGACAGTAAGTGTACTTTACATTTGTACAACAAGTATTTATATTTTAAATTGTAATTTATATGTACATATTTTAAGGACAACAACAAACATCGTCTCCCAAACGCCAGAAGTTCTCGGGCAAGAACCAGATATACTGGATACTTCCTTTGGATTCCAAATAGGCGAGAGTGGGAACATTATAATAGAAGAGCAAGAAACCACTGCCCCAACGCCGGCTAAGAGACAAAAGAAAAAAAAAACGATGAGAACGCCGCCTTTAACGATCTAGTCAACGAAGTAAGTCAGTTTGTGGATAGTCAAAAAAAAAACACACAACAATTTCTTGGGTGCGATTGGCGAAGTGTTTGAGAAGGTCCCAGAAGAGAGCCGCCTAGATTTTCAAATGGACGTACTTCAATACATCTATGCTCAATATAAAAATTATAAAAATTGAATTTACGAAATTTAAAAATTTAAATGACATCCAGTTTGAATTCAATTTTGCGAACTTTATATGTAATCTAATTTAGTATGAAATCTGATTTTGATTTTGCGAATTAAATATGTAATCGAATATATATGTAATATATAATATATATATGTAATGTAATAATATGTAATAAATATGTAATCGAACCTGAAAGATGTGACGACATTTAAAACATTACCAATAAGTGCCCTCATACTGTGAGTTCAAATTTTTGTTTTCTATCTTAAATAATAAAAACAAAGCATATTCAGTGAGTAGTAATTATTTAAATTTTATTGTTAAAAAGATGTGTCTTCAGAGCATCCCTTAAATCATAATTATTTGAACTGCCTCGGTTCGATGACACCCTACTTATTGAGGGCAATGGAACTACTTCGTTTCGCCATGAGCCAGCGATGGTGGCATCCTCTTCGTAGCGATCAACAAAATCGCTTGCTACATAGTTTGCACACGAAAGCTTAATAAAATTATGCAAGACAATACAAGCTTTCACTATTTGTTCTGCATTTTTCGGGGCCATGCATAGCGTCGTTCTCAATATTCTCCATTTGGCAGTGAGTATTCCAAATGCATTTTCTATAACTCTTCTTGCACGAGAGAGTCTTTTATTGAAATACTCTTGCTCTTCTGGAATACCTCTACCCAGATATGGTCGCATTAAATAACGCCGTAAGGGAAAAGCAGCATCTCCTACTAAATAATGTGGAAATGGCTCGGTTTCTCCTGGCAGAGGCTGATCATGTGGAAGGCCGAGCCTATCATTTTCAATAGCATCTGCCAGTTTTGAAAAGTGGTAGACACCGCCATCGCTTTGACTTCCATATGCTCCGATGTCAACGCAGGTAAAGGTATAATTGGCATCACATACGGCCAAAAGCACGATACTATAATTGCCTTTGTAATTATAGTACATCGACCCTGAATTCGCTGGACAGGTAATATTAATGTGCTTTCCGTCGATGGAACCAACGCAGTTGGGCATATTCCACAGCGACTTGAACTCATTGGAAATACGTCCCCATTCCGTTTCTGACGGGGTCGCCACATACAGGTCAGCTAACAGATCCCATATGGTCATACATGTCTCCAACGTAATCTTCCTGAAAGTCGTCAGGCCGATCCTGTGAACTATTGTGTGGAATTGCCGAGTGCCACCGTGAGCCAAATATCTGCAACAAAAAAATAAAACCAGATACATATATGGAAAATTATACGTATACTATTAAGTAAAACCGATTTTCTCTTACATCAGGGTTATAAATAGTCTGCAGCGGCTCGATATTGGTGTTCTGATTGAATATTTGGTCAGCGAAGCCTCCAGAAATTCGTGCAGCACATTAAATAACGAAAAGGGCATTCTTAATGTCTTGTTAAACTGCTCCTCATCTGCAGCCAAGTTTCTTAATGAACTTTCAAACAATCCATATTTGTTTCGCTCTAAGTACAATTTCCGAACCCAAAATCGGCGCTTCTGTTTTAATCGCAGTTTTAATTTACGCATTTTCGCTAAAATTAGGAAAATTCTCAAAACTTGTTCAGCATTTCGAGTCAACATTTTGTACTGCCAAATGAAACTTTATGAAAACCAACGAATCTGGTGGCCGGAACGATAAAAAGCAAGGTATCTGAAAAAAAATAATGTTGTTAGCAACAAATAATTGTTTAATATAAACTCTTTTACCTCCAATTGAATATTACGTCTTATAAACACGGGTGGTGAGTGGCGCAGCCAAATGCAGCTTCACCAAAACCGGAACGATAAAAAAGAAGGTATCTGTAAAAAATAATGTTCTTAGTAACAAATAATTGTTTAATAACATATATTTTAACTAAAATTCACAATTATACTTGCTGGCACAACAAAGAATGGCGGGTATATTTGCGCGCATTGAAAATCAGCTGACTACTATGACAGCGTTCAAAGCTACCATTAGGCCATAAAAGCCTTCAAAGTAAAGCAAAGCAAACTAAAGTAAGCAAAGCAAGCAAAGTAAGCGTGCATTGGGCCAATACCTTTACTCATGATGCCTTTTACCTCTTCACAGACTTTTATTTTCTTTTTTATTACTGTCAAGCTCACGGCACACGTTATCGGAGTACATTTTAAATTGTGTGAAAAGTGACAGTTAATAAATTTTTAACTTTCTTGCGAGTTAAACATTTGATAAGACATTGGAAAAAGTAAGTTTATGTTTTAAATAATTTCCTAAAATGTTTATTAAAACATTGGGTCTCGTTTTTTTACCCCTATTCTGCAACTCTTTCGTATTCGGATTTTGCTACGAATCGTAGAAATAGCGTGCTTTCGAAATTCTTAACAATGGCGTGCCTAAAAACGAACGAGTAAGAAATTCACAGCTTTTTTGCATAATTTTGTACGAAAACAATTCTATGTCGGAAGCGAGATAAAATATGTAAATCGATGTGTGTTTGCAAGAAATATAAGTGGTGTTCTTTTAAGCTGACCAATTTGCCTTTCGTATATACGTATATTTTGAACCACTGCTTTATATGAACGAACAAAAAAGAATGTTTGTTGCCCCTCATCGAGAAATTTGAGTCTGGTTTAGTTTTTTGTACAATGATTTTCGGTTATTGTGTCCAAACGCACAACCCCAGTCTAAAAACTTTAACAAACACGTGTAATCAAAAGATTAAACTTTAATTTAAAATAACAGTTTCAAATTTCCGAGCAATAGTTAATTAATAAATTCGGCTTGCACTATGCACTTTTTTGTGAATTTCGATGTGAGTTCTGCGCAAAAATACTGCGGATGGCGTAGCCCGATTTATATGCACAAGAAATGTTGTATGCCTTTGACATGCGGAAGCCCCTCCTCTCCGGCAACACAGAAAGGAGAATTATACTTAGTAAAAGTTACAATCTCTAAACGCGTCGGAAGGCAGAAGCAAGCGTAACAGGTAAAAAAAATATGTAAACTCAAATAATTTTGCTATAAATAAGCATTTCATGAGTGTTTTTTTATTTCCCTTCCACTTTGTTTTCCTTCATTCAGCTATCTTCGAGAAAAAACTGATAGCTGGCAATGCTGCACATGTTTCCGCAAAAGTTGCAGCATGTGGATTTTTCGTTTTTCGTAGCATAGCTACGAATTACGAAAATTCGGGTTTTAGAATAAGGGGGTTATAGTAGAGGTGATAACTAATACCGAAAACTCCCAAAGTAGGAAGTAGGTAAACCTCAGCGAAGACGAAAAGAAAAAACTGCTGGAAGCAATAAAAAGCTTTCCATGCATTTGGGACAAGCAGAAGAAGGACCACAGCAATAGAATGGTCTTAAATAGCGCGTCGCAGAATATTAGTCGTATAGTTGGTTGGTTCCGTGCGCAGAAGTGGAAAACTTTTGACTGCCATTCACCTGGGAGTGGCCAGAAGCGATTCTTGTGCGTACGGTTCAAATCGCAGCTCACAACGTCCGGATATTTATATCCACGTATCCTCTGGGTAGCAACCAAACACCCGTTTGGGAGCGAGCTAAAGTGAGAAGGCGTAAAACTTCGCGTGCGCTGGGTTTGGGTCCCGCCACGTTAAAACCCCGCCCAATGAAAAAAAACAAACAGCCTCGGATGAGACCCCCTTTTTCTGATGACGACCACGGCAAACGTATAAAGGACTATGATTTAAGGGTATGCACCTGGAATATCCGGACCCTTAATGGGGAAGGTGCCTCTGCCCGGCTGGTTGATGTCCTCGGGAAGACAAAGGCTGACATCACCGCCATCCAAGAAATGCGATGGACGGGGCAAGGTAAAGTAAGCGTGAAGCCTTGCGACGTCTACTACAGTTGCCACGTAAAGGAGCGCAAATTCGGTGTTGGATTCGTGGTAGGAGAGAGACTCCGTCGCCGAGTACTGGCGTTCACCCCGGTGGACGAACGTCTAG